AAAATGACATCCATTACTCCTGAAGGACACTCACTGTTGTGAGACAGGAGGTGAGAGATAGACAGCTTTAGTGTTCTACTTGTCTTCACTGGTTCTACTGTGTCCAACAAGTCTCAGTTTGTCCATGCATTTGTCCATATCCAACATTCTATCACAAATGTCACTCTAGTTAACTTACAGTGAATTCAGGCTCAACACCAGATGCAAAGATAACAGCTTTATGTAGACTCCTCCACCAGCTCTAGGAATTGCCTGAGTTCTTATTCTTATAGCGAATCCTTCATTCTATGTGGTTCTGCTTCTCTAATTGTGCCCTCACTGACACAAAGCTTAAGAGGAAATGATTAAGGAAGTGATTTTCATGATGATTCTAGTTTACCACACCCAGGGTTATGATATGAGCATCTTTAAGTGAAGTTGCTGCTTTAAATTATTATAAGGCAAGTTTTTCAACTTTAGACAACTTAACGCATGTTCTGCATGATTGCTTTGAAGTGAACATTCAAGACTGAGAATGTATTAGTAGAAAGTTCCTCTGGACACCTGTTCTCAAATGATATAAAAGGAGATTTATTTAGAATTCAGTCTTCTGATCCGGACCGCAGACCACACACCCACAGGGCTGCCGTGTCTTGTCTGGGGGCTGCAGGTGTGCATCTCGGCTTGACTCCTGCAGCAGGGAGCTCTCTCTTACTGCGCTCTGGGGTTTTTGTTAGGCTTATCCTATTACTTCAAGCACTGTGCTTTCTCTGAGAGCACAGAAGTACTTTGCAGAATCCTCCAGCAGTAAGTTTGAGATGGTGAGGCTGAGGGATTTTTCTGCTCTCCTGAAGTTTACAGAGTAGCGGCCACTCTTTGCATTCCCGCTAGTTGAACCCTGATGAATAAGGAAAGTCATCTCTCCACTCAGAGGCTGCTTGTACCAAACAATATAGTAATAGTTCCAACTTGTTTCATACCGACAGTTCAGGGTGGCTGATTCCCCAACGTGAGAGGATACGGCTGGCTGGTCTTGAGTAACTGTCTGGGCCACTCCTGATCCTGTGGGGAAAATCAGAAAACAGGGCTGAAGTAGTAAGTAGTATAATGTAGGAATGAGGCTAATTTAGGTCCCAAAGAAAAGCCAAATTGAAATGATAATATGCTTGCTTTTCTCCAATCTTCCTTTCCTCCCCAAGTCCCTGTGAGGTACCACGTGCAATCCTTTCACCCTGAACATTCCCACCCATGTTTGGAACCATCCTTACCCGAGAAGATGAGGGCCAGGAAGACCCCGAGCAGGCTGGAGAGCGGCATGAGGCGTGGGCTCCGCTGCACAGATGTGTTTAGTTCTGCCTGAGCCGAGAGCTCTGTGTATCTGAGTCCTTGACAGCACATGCACATGGTACCTGGGTTCCAATGTGACTCCCCCAAACAGGAAGGAGGGTGTGTTCTGTTCATAGACCACGTGGTCTGTGCACACGGATGGGAATAACGTGGCTCACCACAAACCTTCACTTTGTCTACTGCTCTTTCCGTGGTCATTAAGTTCGGCAGTACCTGAAAAGGGGCATGGGAAAAGCAGTTCGTATGAAAGGTTCGAGCTGAGGGGAACTGCAGATAAAACAAGTTGACATACATTGGTTATCACACAGCAGAATAATGTAGGCAGCCCGTTTAAAACAGATTAGAATAGGCTATGAGCCCTTCTTGTAGTCTACTTCCTGGTCATTCATTTAGCCTATAAATAAAATTTCCCCATCCAGAATCTGATGATTCCTTTGAAAAACTCACAGACCTCCCCTTTCTTGATGAAAGGCGTCTTATCCAAAATAATTAATGTCTCTCTCTCACTCTTTTTTAAATTGGCTTCTAGAGCCCTACTCAGGTTTTTCAGGAAACAAAGGTGCTTAAATATGAAATGATAAATCAATCCTTATGACTTTCAGATTCTATTCAGTTGTTTATGTTTTTATGAAATTATAACAGGAATAAAACACTGTTTCTTTGGAAATCTGACATTGAGTCTTACTTATTAGACTTTAGTCAGGATCAGGATATTCAGTCCAGTTGCCTCCACAAGTAAAAATGTACTTATTAGATCATCAGTACATGTCCTGATGTCACATTTTCTATCCTATTGGGCCAAAGTGCTCAGTCTCACTCGTCAGTGTCTGGTTATTTCTGTCTTTGTGAAATAAAGTCAAGAAACATGTCAGATCTTTCTGTGACCCTGTGCTATAACGCTCTCCTACAGAACGTGGTATCTACAGTCTGCAGACACAGTGTGTGTCAACAGCACAGAGCTGGTGACTGAAGTTGTGTATGTTGTTACATGTCATGTGGAATGTCGCTGTCAGTCTTCCATGTGGTGTCATTGCTTTAATGGAT